ATTAAATTTCGTCGAGTCGCTAATATTCCATCTTAGTTTGGTTAAAGTAGATTCATTTGKTGATTTTTCTATCCGACACTGTTTAAAATAGGGATTTTCTTCACACTAKATCTAGGTGTCTGTGATTTATAGCGTACGACCACCAACTAAGCCGGGGTGTGGTCTCGATGTAGACCCCCACTACTTCAGCACGATATCACTGGAAAAAATCGCGCGCTTTAAAGGTTGTAAATTTGATGTAAATATGATGTAAGTGTCCAAAATTCTGTAAATTTGATGTAAATGATTTCCATTAAATTTACAGAATTTTGGACACTTACATCATATTTACATCAAATTTACAACCTTCAAAGCGCGCGATTTTTTCCAGTGTATAAGAGTTCAAAGTCGAGATTCAAACAGTGTTTTGTCTTCGATCCGSCCGAAAGRAAACTTGTGTTAACGGTACTGCTTAGTAACAGACGAAAATGCCACCCATAACCGCTTTCGACAAAACAAATCTGCAAGACGTCTCGGCTCTTTTACTCTAAGTAAGATATTCTAATTTCAAGGCAAGTGCACCGGTTATACARTCAAAAAGTGAGCGCGTGTTAGCCTCCTCCGAAGGCATCTCTCTCATACTCTCTCTCTCTCTGTTTGTGGAAGTCTGGGAACAAATATACAAAGACGAAGTCTCCTCGCCTCTCACCAAAGGAAGCCCAACCGCTCGTAAATTAAAAGAATAGGAATTTCAAAGTACAAATGTCTAGTGGGCTACACTGAAGATGTTTTTTTCGTTGAATTGGACGACAGGTCTCTTTAGAAGCYCAAGGAGTGTTTATCCACACAGAAGCACCTTGGTTTCCGAGGATGTAGCGAGGAGAGTGAACATTTGACTGACARCAATACGCATTTGATAGGCATTCTAGATGAGCATGAATCTATTTTCTCAGTTAGCATTCATAAGCATTTAATAACATTCACAAAAACTGCTGTCAGCAGAATTTGTTTTCCTAATKAGTAACTAAACTAGTACAATTACATGTGTATTATAAGATTTCTGTGCGCCAAAAATCATTGACATATTCACCTAAATAAATTATATTAAAATCATCAGTAACAAGGTATGTTTTAGTTTGTTTGTTGTTCCTTTATCTCCCGCGCATAGCAAATAAATTTTTGACACTACAAGCGAAAACCATCATTGGCATTTATGCGAGTTCTGATAAGCGGGAAAATATCTACTTAACAAACGCCATGTACAAAAATTAGGTGACATCCTCGAA